AGGAAGTCCAGCATGTTAGACTTGTTCATGTGGGTGGCATAAGGAATGGGCAGATATTGCATCTAGAGCCTCACCAGCCCTTGGGATGGCCCTGCAGGATGGCCCCCTTACCTACAAAATGTTCTGCTAGAAAGCATTCATCTCATGCATAAGGTATAAAATGTCTGTAGGCTGACAAGATATTGTTCAGATTTGCCAATAATCTTTGGTGACTGGGTTTCTTTCTTACTTTTTCAGAGAAAATATTTTAAGATATATTTTATTCACTGAGGAATTCACTTATTTTTCATTTCATCACAACTTAGTAATATACTTACACATAGCAGTTAGAGCTCACTGAGAACAGAGGAACAGTCTGTGTTCCAAAATTTAGCTCATAAGTATATATTGAAAATTGCATACCTAATAGTAAGATTGTAATTAGGATCATCCCCACAGCTCAGGTTATTCTTAGCTCTGAGGTCATAAGCATACACAGTGACTCAACCAACCATCCATCACAACTCTTAAACACTTGGTTTTCATTGCTAGTTCTATTATTTGAAATAAGTTCATTAAATAAGGAGTATGCGTACTTGGTCATCCGGATGCAAAGTAGAATACTATTTCCAAGCTCCTATGCTAGAGGTACGTTACCCTCCCTCCAACTATACAGCTCCAACTACCAATTTTTGTTTTTCTCAGGGCTGTAGATTTTCAGACCCTTCTGTACCTTTTTTGAGAAATGGCCTCATCTATGCAGAGATGGCTGTGACTGGGCTGCTAGGCAGAATGCTTCCAGACTGTCAGGAAGACCCTTCCCTCATCCCAAGCATGGGGCACTGCCCCCCCATCCACAATGCTATGTAAATGAAGGACAAAGAACTGAAAACCTGCTCAGACCTTTGATCTCTTCCTAGCTCACAGAAGCCCCTGATCCTGCTAATCTGCAGCTGCTCATGCTTTCTGCATTCCCCATATCTTCACGTGTCTGCAAGCCATCCCTGTGTCTCCAGCTTTTCAGATGAACATTCCAGCTCTTTTGCATTTGCTTCTCTGCTATTCATGGCAACTGCTCCTATTGTCATCCCTCTTATTTTTCCTTCTCCATCGTATGCCCCATGAGCCTGCCATACCACCTGCCTTTCTCCATTTCTCCTCTTTTATTCTCTTTATCATACACCCTGACACATCTGAGCACCTTTGCAGCTTCTGACACCTCCAAACTTTCTGTCTCCTTCTGTTCTCCACATCATCCTCTCTCCAGGTAAGGTCCCACTTTACCCCTTTCCATACATGTGTCTCTGGCATCTTCATTTCAGTCCTTCCCCTTACTTTCAGAGTTCTGGCTGGGCTCCTGAGTGGACCCCTCTCCCCTTCTGTCTTCAGAAGATACCATGAACATTGCTAGAAAAAAGAATTTTTAAAAAAGAGTTTGTACTAGTGAACTTAAGAAAATGAAAACATTGCTGGTACAGATCACAAAGGCAAAGCATTAAGCTCCAGAGGTATACAAGCTATGTAATCTAGGACCTTCTTCAAGGTTAATTTCTTAATGGGTATTAACTACAAAGTCCTTTGGGGGAAAAAAAACCCAGTTAATTTAGATATCATTCCAATACAATACACTTTACAAAGATAATTTAGATAATTCAGATATTGGTGGCAACAGTCTCTGACCTTTGTAAAGTTCTCAGAAAAAAGCCCTTGATCAACGCAATTTATACTGGAATATAATGTTTCAGCAATTGCAATTTTTTTTGTGCACAGTCATTTCTAGAATGAGACTTTACATCTGTAAGGAACAAACAGAAAACTGGAGCACGGAGGAGCAAAGTTATCTGAGCAGTTTAACTGAACATTTGAAATATTTTATAAACAGCGGAGTCAATTTTCAAGTTAACACTGAACTTCATGGTTTCATGTTTTGCTTTTTGACAGCTGTAACACCTTACAGCTGTCCCTGTAGGGCTTGTGGGTCTTTTTTCTTACCCTTAAGTTAATAGCATCTGTTGGCAACCTAAACTCCAGCTCAGATTCTGCACCTGTTACACATCAGATATTACCGGGGATTAATGAGGTTTATTTTCCATACTTCCCTGATGCTGAATTACAGGTATTACCCAACCACATAGCACGAAGGTGTTTGTATTGAGAAACGAGAACCAAAGAGAGGGCTCTGCCAGCACACCCAGCTTACGTGACCAGTGAGCTGGATTTTATTTGACAAAGGAAGTGGAGCTTGGTTTCTGGTTTGCTTATTGCCAATGATAGTTTTAATTCGATTTTGTGACCTTTCTTGTTACCTAGTTCCCAACAGAGAATATTCAGTCCTTGGAAATTGCAGAGTTCTTTTTTCCTCATGCTTGGAAACATATTCCAGTGTGAAAACACAAGGTATACTAGCAGAAAATGAGCGTTGGAAACCAGAGCTGAAGCGGGTCAAGAACGAGGGCTAGGCAGGCCTGAGTAAGGATGGGAACACTCTCACGGCGCACAGGTACGCCGACATTCACTGTTATTCTGTTAAACCGCTGTTAAAACAGCAAAGGCGTCTCTAAGGAAGTGCAGCTGGTTACAAGTACACTTACAGGCAAGAAGGACTGATAAACAAAGCCATAAATCCTAGCCGCAGGAGAAGAGGCGCTGCGCAGGCAGGCTGAAGGCGGGACAGGCCTGGCCATCGCCTCACCGCACCGGAGTATCCCCGTCACCGCGGGCCGAGCGGCCGGGGGCCTGAGGCACCTTATGTGCGCGGGGGAACAAGGAACAGCTGAAGGGCACGCGCTGGCTTTCAACTGCGCGGCTCCTCGGAGCCCTTCGCG